AGATCCTCATCTAGGTTGTATACTAGATACTCATCTGAGTATCATGCTAAGAGAGCTGAGGTTGATCTGATTTCTGTTTGAGCAGCATTTGTTCCTTGCAAAGAGACAAACTGCTTGAACAAGGAGAGATCAAATGTGGGAAATCTTAAAAGAAAATAAATTTGTAAGTACATACTTGATCTGTGTGGTAGTTTCCATTACTTGTGCTGATCTTTGAAATAAGGAGTCATAATTTAAAGGCTTAATTTTTTTAGTGAGAGATCAGTTAGGAGTCTGCTTTATTGGCTTTATTGCAGATTACTGCTTTTTTTTTTTTTTTTTTTTTTTAAATGCAGAGACAAAATATTGCATGGCATGGAGGGAAGGGGTAAAGCAAAATTCATTAAGTTACCACTATTGCTCATAGCTTTTCATTTGTTGTGTGTTAATTATTGTCTTAGACTTCCATGTGAAATAAACACAACAGTCTGTGGACTGCTTCCCTCAGCTTTTAAAGCCTGAGAGGATCACCTATCTCAGCACAAACTTGATACACGTAATAGATCTATTTGTTTTTTTGGCCCTGTTATAACTTTGACATTAGTGATCTGTTGGTTCTTGTATTTTAAAACCGGCTGCTAAAGGTAACTATTCAGATTGGTCGTATCCGGTTCAGTCACTTTTTTTTTTTTAAAAAGACGACTACAAGTCCCTTTTTTCACTTTGTGGATTGTCAGGAACTTTAGAGACTCAGTTGCTGTTGCCTTTTAATGCTTGATTCACCCTATATTCCTTTCAATTTACAGGGCAGCAATCCACCTAGTGCTTGTTCTAAGAGCTTTTCTGAACTCTTTTCTGATCAGTTGTGAACAATCCTGCTTGCCAAATTGGCAGTCAGCAAATGAAAAAATTTTCATCAGTAACAAGTAGGAACAACTTCTGCCTTGTCCAATAAATCTTTCTGACAGTTTTGTAGCATAGTGTAAATGTAAAATAAACTTACTGCGTAGGAAAAAAGAGGGATTTTTGATTGATCTGCTCTTGTAGCACTGGTGGGAGAGTAAATCTTGTAACTACTTCAGTTATCTAAAGGCAAAACCAATAGGATAGTGTGTCACGCTTGCTAGAAAATTAAGATTTTTTTTTTTTAATCAGCCACATATGCCTTTTAATTTTTGTTGATGGTATAGTATGTTCTTCATTCAATTAAATTCCACATTTATTTTTCCAGTTTTCTTTTTCAGATTGAGAAGCATCAAATTATAACACCGAGGGACTATCAAATAATTCAGCATTTTTGAACATAGGTTTCATGTAAATATAGATGCCTCTTCACATGCTTAGGTTGTACTTGCATCAATTTACTAGTGTGTGATGATATTCAAGAAACTGTAATACCCGCAGCGGTTGGCATAACATTCAGTCTTTTGTCGTGCTTGCCTAGCCCGCCATGTGGCTATGCCATGCCTCTAATTAGAGCAGACTTGCACCCGTGTCTGGACAGTATGCGTTTAGGTTTGATGTTTCATTCTGCACTTAGAAAATGCCTAGTAACATCTTGTGTACATAACAAGGACATATTTAATATTAATCAAACACAGCTTGTCTCCACATTCTGTGCTTGTGTTGTTTTGCGTAGCCTTGTAAGTACTGTGCCTTTTGCGTTGTTCTCCAATCTGACTGCAAAACCAGTATGCTGCAGTAAAAACGTGATTCCCTACAGTCTCGCGTTTCTTCTCCCAAGTTTGTATGCCTGTGCCATTTTTTTATTATTATTTTTGAAACTTCGTAAGTATCCCTGGTGTGCAGGCTTACAGCTCATTAAAGGGAGTCTCAGTAAGTGTTTGGGATAAGTTTTTTTGAATAGGGTGCAGAATATACTGCTATTATGTAGCTTCATGGAACCAAGGTTTCCTTGTTGACTAGCACTGGAAAGATCAGGTCTGTGATTTTTTTTTTTAATTTTTTTTTTTCCCCTGCATGGCCAGTTCTCAATCTGTGCAGAACTAAACCTTGCATAATAAATAATCAACCTCTGTAATTCAGAACTGATAGTCTTTCCTTTGAGAAATGCTAGTGTTTCTAGCCATGTTAGCAGGTCTTCGTTATAAAGATCAATGACTAGATCATAGCTTTTTTCTTTTAATTTAGACTAAAAAAAATCTAGATGATTTCGGCAAATGTGTGCTTATATAGTAGAAGTGTCTCCTTTAGAAACAAGTTGCAATAACAACTTCAGATGGAGTTACTTAAAGTTTTGTCCAGTCAAGTCTTGGGAACCCCTGAGGGTGAAGGTTCTGCAACCTCTCAGCACCTGTCCTGGTTGCTGATAATCCTTACAGTGAAAACTTTTTTTCTTCTATCAAGTTGGAACCTTCCTTGTTTAATTTATAACACTTCTTGTATTATTCCCTCCCGTACACCTCAGTAAAGAACCTGTCTTCAGCTTCTTGGTAACCTTCCCTTGTGAAGGCTGCTGTTAGGTGCCCTTGAACCTTCTCTTCACCAGGTGAACATTAGTTCACCAGGCTGAAAGAAGTTTAGATTACTTTGAAATCTACATATACTTTTGATTTATTTTAAACTTCAGTCTTTTAAAAACTGATTGAAAAGTGATTACTTTTGAAATAGCAAGCAACCTGTATTTCATGTCCTGCCAGACTAAGTTCAAGTTGAAGGAGGTTCAAAAGGAAATGTTTTTGCCCATTGATTTTAATAATAAAATTATATCTAGGAGCTAGGAGAATGGATTGATAATCCTCATGTCTTGTTGTGTCCATAGTATTGTACATGAATTTTTCAGAACAGTTGAGTCACCTTTGCCAGCTCTGTTGGTTGTCGATTGTGACACGAATGCTGACACATTGTTTATGACAATGATAAGGATATGGTCATTTATGATAGCACTCCAGGCTAATGTAATAAATATTTTTGAACCTATCCTTTTTTAGATGTATTGAAGTAATGTAGGTCTTAGGAAAGCACTGGAATCATCTTGCTAGAAAATAATTGTGTCTTGTGTTGTTTGAGCTTACTTTTTTTTGGTTTAGAATTGAACTGAGTTAAAACAGAAATAAGAAAGGCTGTTTCAGTAGTGAAATGAAGCAAATTGTATGGTGAATACGATGGGTCTACTCAATTTAAATGTAACGTATAAAGAGCTAATAATATTTATGGACCTCCAGTCCAGTGCCTTTTTGGTGAGCTATTACTTAGTAAAAATTGTCAGTATTACAAGATTTGCAATTCTTGTTTTCTGTAAACAGACACTTTGAGCTCATGTGATTTCCTAAAGCTGATCTTTGTGGTAATTCTTTTCTAGAAAATCAAGTTCTTGACATCCTTTATCCAAGAACCTGGAGCAGCAGAGAGACAGTTTTTACAATGAGGAGAAATTATCTGTTAGGTAAGTTAAGTGCCAATGTTTGGCAACAATCTCTGATATTTTCAGTTGGGGAAAACAACGATGAGCTGTAATTGTCAGTCGGGTATGTAAGTTGAATCTGTTGCTGTGGTAGTAGGTGATTTAGAGGTAGTAGACATTGAGACAGGCCTTGGGTGAGGAAAAAAGGGGTGTTTGTGACCAGTACATGTAATTTCCATGCTGAGCAGTGATGAAACTGTATTGAAATATTCAGTGAAATATGGAATCCTGCTATTTTTTGTATGTTGCAAAAAATGTGTGGATAGAGTTAAGTTCTGTGAGTCTTCTAGGAGTGAGATAACTGGTAAATTGTGAATGTCTATATACCTAGGCAGATAAACTATATAGGTATAATGTGCTATGTATATTGATCTCTGCTTGTCATTTTATAGTGTGGTGCCTTGTAAAGCTGCCTGGTATTTCAGGTAAATTTGAAGTGACAGTAGTAAATTAGTTATGACTAATTTCTTTTGTGAGTAAATTTTATATAAAAATGTGTAGAAAGTAGTAACAATAACCTTATGCTGTGCATTTGATGACAACCCAAGTACTGAATTATTTACCATTGCTTTGTATTGCCCATTTTCTGTTTGATGGATCATTTTACACTATACTGCTGTTATTGCATAGGAAAAGATATGTGTTCAGCAGTTCCAGTGACCTCTGGAAAGGATAATTTGTTTGGGAGTTTAAAATATGGTTGACAATTTACCAGAACCTTCTTGACTATTTTTGTTTGCAAAGCCTACAGAATATTTTATTTTTAAGTTTGAGGTTATATGGCATTTAAATCGTGTGTGTGTGTGTGTAAGTTATCATCAGAAGTATTTTTCATCTTGGTTTGCTTCTAGTTATGCTTATCCACAATGTGGAAATTCCAAAGTAGTCTGAGAGACATAAGTAAAACATAACTTCTTTTGAACTTCGAGTTTTTGAAACATTCTTTTTTCAGGTTTGGGTCTTTTTTTTAAAAAAAAAAAGACAGCATTAGAAGTTTCTTCAGCAATGAAGTTCTGGGGGTTTTTTCTGCCTTGCTTGGCATTGAGAATACATAAAGTGTTTGAATAATATTCACAAATATAAATGCTAATATATAATTAATTGGAGTTTGTTAGGTGTCGGTTACTGCCATTGCTGCATCTAGTTGGTCATTACTTTCAGGTATGTGCATGATCAGGTACTAGAAAACCTTACTTCATGCAAATCAAGATGAAGAAAAAATAGTAGTTCAGTGAGAACCCCTCTGATATATTCTGAAGTATATTTAACTTTAATTGGCATATTACATCAATACCATTATCTCATTTCCAAAAACATTAAGTATCACTAAAGCCACCTACATAACACTACTGTAATTTTTTTTAATTTTAAGTTTTTCTTTGAAAATATAGTTTTAATAAGCCAAGCATGAATATAATATGATTGCTGACTCTCTAGTAATTCTTTTTTCTTTTTCTGTTTAGGTTTTCGAACTTCTGATTCAGTCACCAGATATTAATGAGGAAGAAAACCTGACTGATTAACACAGTTCTGGTGATTTGTCAGGTTTTTTTTATTCTGTGGTGTTTGAGGAGAGATTTGAGGAAAATTTCAAGGAATGGAGTTAGCTCACAGTTTACTACTTAATGAAGAAGTGTATAACCAGCTTGGTGAATTTCAAAAAGCAGAGTTCATTTTTGAATGGTTACAGTTTTTGGAAAAACTTTTACCAGTGACTAGCAGAGTAAGTATAATGAGACTTGAGAAGAAAAGCACATTATAGAGCTATTTCTCTCTGTCTTTTTTGTTATTTTGTTTAAAAACAAAGAACAGTACTCAATTTGAGATGGCTTTTCTTTAAGTAGAAAGGTGTGATAAAAAGTTCATTTTTAATTAACAATGTCAGATTGTCAGAATGGTATTAGTGAAAAGTAAAGGTAATTAGTATTAAAATTATCTTTTAACAGACTTCTAAATTTAACTGAAATTTAACTGGTTACTGATTTTATTTCCAGGCTGATATAAGGGAAAACCAGAAGAAACTGGTTGAACAATTGACTTCTTTGTTAAACAATTCACCAGGACCTCCTACCAGACGGCTTGTTGCCAAGAATTTAGCTGTACTTTATAGCACTGGAGACACTTTTTCTGTTTACCAAACAATTGACAAATGCAATGAACTCATTCGAAGTAAAGATGATTCACCAAGTTATCTGCCTACGAAACTGTAAGTATTTTTTTTTTAACCCCAAACTTCAAATCCAGTAATAATGAGAGACAGATTCATGTGATGAGAGGTTAATGTAGGAGAGGGTATGCTGCCTCATTTCTGCCTGTTGTCCAGTAGAGGAGCTTACCATATGACACACAGAATTCGGGAGCCTCCCTGATTACTGTCATTATTGTGGGTGTATCCAGCTGTAAAAAGTAATTTTTTCTTCGGTATTACATCTCTAAAATTTTTAGACTTGAGCGTTACAAAGAGAAACTGAATTCGTCTGAAACCTGAAAGCAAATTCAACTTGCTTCTTTCTCTCTAGGTATTATAACAATTTTATTTTAATCATTTAGTATATGCCACCTTCAGAGCAGAATTATGAGTGGTTAAATACTTGTGTAGCATTTTATATATTCCTTTCTGTGTCTTTACTGGAAAGTTTGAGTAAGAGGTTCAGCTGCATGTTGAGGCGAAAAAAAAATTCAGGGCATTACTTTACAACATAAATTGCCCTTGAAAGTTTAATAAGCTTAAAATATATTTTTATTCTTTATTTAGAAGTTTCTTGTTATAATTCACATAAATGTAATATAAAATCAGTCACATTCAAATGCTTTAAAATCACATTACTTTTGAAGCATTTAATGCAGAGGCAATTTGGTGGTTGATGGGAGTCAGTGTAGGTTGCATATGTTAGAGCAAAATTTGACCTAGCCAGCTAGTATTTACTGGATCAGCTGGAAAGAAATGTCTTGAGTGATCTGAAAGCTAAGCTAAATTAATTAGTGTAGGAGTGTAGGAATGCTAAACTTGTTGCTATCATTCAGAACTATAGTATGCTTTAAAGTAATAGAGTAAACTGAGGGTAGTTTATGCTTTGTTTTTGTTCAGTGAGGGGACAAATCAGCTTGCAATACATATTGCCATATTGAATAAACCATGCTTTACAGCAAGTCAAAAAACCCACTGCTTGTTACAAAAAAGGTGAAAAAGCTTTTCATAAGTAACTTATTTAACATTAGTAAAAGAAAAAAAAACCGAACACATTTACCTGACACAATGCATCTGAGTTCCCTTCCACAGGATACATAATAAAACTAAGAATGTGGTAGTATTAGGTATTGTATGTGTGCATCAGGAACTGAGACGGTGGAAGACTGTTGGTAATCTCCAGCCAGACAACTGAAAATCAGGCCGGAGAGAATACCAGCGATGGATAACAGAGTTATGAGGGGGCAGGTGTTTGAAAAACAAGGAGAAGGTAATAATGGTGCTGAAAAGAGCAGTAAAACAGACAAGTACAACTCCAGGTAGAAAATACAGTTATTGAGCACGTTTCTTAATCCAACTGGGAAGCTGGATATAGTTAGAAACATCTGAAATGTTTGTAACTAAACACCTAAAGCCTAGCCAACAGAACAGAGAAACGTGAACTGTTATTGCAGGATGTGAAACTAAATCTTAAGGTGCAAAAATACTATGAATAACCTTCATTCCTGAAACAACAATGCACATCTTTCACTGTATTGAGGAAAATTAAAGATAAAGGTAGAGATAGTAAACCAACATTGTGCATTAATGATACAGTATACAAAGCAGAGCAGAATCTGTCGTCTTCCTTTGCTTCACATGGTAATCCTGTTTCTGACAACCCAAGTGAAGTTTCCTGAAAATAGATTTTTGCAAGGAGTCAGTTGTATTTTCCAATACTGTAATATTTTTTTTTGTTTCCTTCTTGTTCCAATTGACCTCTTGTGCAGTCTTTTGAGTTAAGAATAAGTTTGCTATAAAGGATCTTAGTCCTGCAAAATAAATTACTGCTATACCACTGGCTCCTCAACAGTGAGATGCATGAACATTATAGGTGAGTTGTAGTATGGGACAGAGCTCTGTGGGCCTTCCTTGCTTTGTCTGCAAGATGCCACACTGGAGGAAGTGGGATGATGTCGGGGAAGCAAGGAGGGATGATGGACTCCATTGGCAGTAAGGCAAAAATGGCAAAGACAGACAGAAATAGCAGATATCCAGAGTCAGAAGGCAGAGAGGTAGCTGGGGGTGAAAGAGAGAGGTGGCAGTGTTCAGAATCCTGCTGGGTATGTAAGCAGTAGTGAGGAGTGGACAAAGTGGAGAAAAAGGTAGCAGTAAAATATGATTTACTTCAAAAAAGATTTGGAAAAGGGATTTCTTATAGTACTGACACTGAGACAACAGGCTACAGAAAAATAATTGGAACTACCGAACTGTTACTGAGTAAAATCTTTCATCTTCGCCTGCAAGTATATGGAATACTTGGTGTTCAGTGAAGACAGACTGCTTTTTTTTCTTTTGTTTTTAAAAAAATCATGATTAAAGTGTTGTCTGTGTTTGCCATCTGTCCTTATTTAGCATACATGGCCACGTTGTCTGGTAGCAACACTTCGCCATCATTGTTTACAATATGTTGATTCACTTGGAAATTCATTTAAATACAGTTTCCAGTGAATTGTTCTCTTACCTCATAAATTATGATTTTTCTTCCTTCATATAAGTGGAAGATGGAAATGTTTTAGGCAAGCATTTTAGACAGAACTTTAGGTGCTCATCTCCTACTAAAATTGAGTGTGATGTGAATGCTATATCAGATAAACAGGTCATGTAGTGTGAATATAGGTTGTTACTTTAAATTACAAAGCTTTGAAAATATCCACTAGGGCTGCTTTTAAACCATAAGCATTTTGAAAGCATTTGGTGGGTCAGCAAAGTTCCTTGGCTGATCTCAGTGCTATTTTAGCACATGTTTAAGTATCTTAGTTCTGTATTTTTGGTACCTCTCCAAGTACAATTGTTAAGGCAAAATTTGAGACAAAATAACTTAAATGTATCTTTTATAGAGAGTGGTATATCAAAATGGAGGTGTTCTGCCAGGGAGGAAAAAACACAGGCAGAGAGGCTTTTCTCTGCAAAACTTGTGTAAATTTACAGGCTTCCTTGGAAATTTCTGGCTGTTGCTTGTGTTTTGACAGACAAAGTGACTCAATAGTTAATACGGTTTGGACTTGGTGAAGAAACATTTGTGGAAAAAAAATAAACAACTAGAGTCATCATACAATCCTAGAAGGCAGTCAGAAGAGCTTCCTAAGTCCTGTGCTTTGAACTTTTATAGAAACTTAAATATTGTTGTCCAGAAGTAGCTGGATTCACATCTGTAGTTGGTGAGATGTTACTCATCAGCAAATATTGCCACTTTGTTGCTAGAAATCACTGTTCACCACTGATTGACTATTGCATACAAGAGTTAAGCACATGGTAGTATAGTCAACCATGTAAGGGTGTTGCAGGTTATACCATGATGTAATATGGTAGTTCTGGTTTGAGTGTTTTTTTTCATATATGTTTGTTACATATTCCTTCTTTGGACTATGATGTGAAATATATATTATTTAGTCTTGAAGCTAATTAAAGAGAGTATCTGTGACCATCAAATGATCAATTTAGTAGTAAGGTGGTGCAATTGTAATTTTATGCCTAGCCACACCATGAACAAAATTAAAATTCAAACTGTTGGTGTGTACTGAGTTTGATAAAAGCAATAATGAAAAATGTTGCTTTAATGAAAATAGGATTTTGGTATGATAAGAGATAAAGAATATCAGTTTTGTTTTTCTTATTGTGCTTTGTCATTTAGGGAATTACTGTTAATATTAAATGCATTTTTCTAATCAAGAATATGTTCAGTATAAGATTTTAAAATTCCTTATGTGAAACTTGAATTCAGTTGGGGAATAAGTACAATGTTGTTTTATTGAAGGGGGGGCTGAGCAGTTTCACTGCATATTTAAGTAGGTCTGGCCAAAGAGCTGAAAGCTGATTAAATAGATAATTTCTTTGTTCCTTGTATTCATAAAATTAATTGGTTTAGTTATAGATCGGTCAATACAAAAGCAAGTATTTTCCTTAATTGTTCAAAGGAAAACACTCTTTAATTAGGCAACTCTTTATTTCTTTATTTCTTTTGCTCAATATTTAGCAATTTTTGCTTTTGCCAAAGGAGATGCCAATAAGCACGCAGACTCCAATTGTCAGGTATTTCACCTGGAAATTAAATTCAGAAATTGTGTACGGTGAAAAGGACATGGGCTTATACTTTTATTTCAAGGTGTTTCCTTATTATGTATTGTTATACATAAATGTCAGAATTTTAATTACTAGACCATTTGCAGTCTACAGTTGACCATCGAGTTGTAAATAAACCTGTCCTGGGCTACTTCTGGCAGCATCTGCCATAGCACAGTGGCATAGACTGCATGATGCAAGGCATGCTTAGTCAGAAATTAATGTTAAGGTTTAAAGGTGGATATGAAAATTGTATTCCTATCTTAAAATTTATTGGAAGATTGTATTACCTGAATTCTTGTATTATCCAAGTTATTTTCTCAACCCTTGTATCTGCATTTCTGCTAGAGCATGAGTATGTGCCACACACACACCATTTTTTTTTTTTCCCTTTTGATAACCCACTTACATTTTTGGGACATTCTATTTAGTTATTTTGTTGTTTGCCCATTGATTACATTAGTCGTCTTAATCCCTTTCATCTATTACTGCATCCATTTTCACGCGTCTTTGGATTTGCTTTTGTTTTAGTGCTGCGGTGGTATGCTTGGGCTATTTGTACAAAAAATTGGGAAGAATTTTGGGAAACAGTTTTACTGACACCGTTGGGAATGTGCTTAAAGCAATGAAGAATGCAGAGGTATTGGAACAGCATGTTTAAAAAATGCTTGGAAAAATAATAGGATGTTTACTGTTGGTAGTTGGACCAATGAATAGGAGAAAGTGCATGATACCAAAATATGAAAAAATTGTGGAAAGTCATAGGATAAAAATCAGTGTCTAAATTCCAAAGAATTACTAGAGAGTTAATGGATTATGATTATAAAAGGATGGATCATAGCTATTCTCAATCTGATTTCATGAAAGAACTTGGTAAACTAGAAAATTTAATTGCCTTATTAATGAGAATTTTTGTACTTCATATTTAGATTTTTAAACTGCTAGTGAGTACTTTCCAGTAGAACACAGAATTACTATTTTCACTTCTTTATAGAGTTACAGAACAGCTTATCTGCTTTAACTCACTTCAGCGTAAACAGATCTTCAAATTCTAAAAGACCCAAACCATTGTTCACCTATTTCAGTAGTTGGCATTTTGCATTTCAAAGGAGCTTAGGGTTACAAAACTTTAACATTTCTCTTTTTCACTTTTCAGTCTCAAGGTCGTTACGAAATCATGCTTAGTTTGCAAAATATGTTAAATGGTTTAGGAGCTGCTGCTATCCCCTGTCATAGAGATATTTACAAAGCTGCCCGATCATGTTTGACGGATCGATCCATGGCAGTCCGCTGTGCTGCTGCAAAGGTAAAAATACTCTAATAACTGTTTCTATTAAGTAAACTCTTAGAGTAATTCTGCTTTAATGGATGATGAACACAGCAGTAGATGCATTGTTGGCTTATCTTTATTTCTTTGATATTGCCTTGCCAGCAAGAATTCAAGTCATTTTAGTATGAAGCAACACGCTTATTTTGTTAGGGAGAGCTCTGTGTGTTACGTAGCAAACTAAGATTTTCACTGAGTACTTTTCCATGTCAAACCATTTTTATCTCCCTTTTTTGTCTAGTGTCTCCTTGAACTTCAGAATGAAGCAGTATTTATGTGGAGTACAGACCTGGATAGTGTTGTGACCTTGTGTTTTAAATCTTTTGAAGGTTCCAATTATGATGTACGATTAGCAGTTTCAAAACTTTTAGGCACAGTATTGGCTAAAGCTCTAATATCTAAACAGACAACAGGTAAAGTATATACTTTGGTGGCTGATTCCTTATCTGTAAAAATCTGTCAGATGATAAGAAACTCTCAAGTTCTGTTGAAGCCTGAAGTGAAATCACAATGTGAGCTTTATCTGGCTGTTCATATCTCTGGTTTGGTCTTTTTTGTAACATTTTTCTTGTGTGAAATGCTGTCGTTTTGGTTGTGTTAACCTATATATATGCGTATATACAAAATAATAAACAAAGAAAAATATTTGGTAAAACTGTTTTTCTCTGTTACAAGATTGTTATTGTATGGAGAGAAATTAGTAACCTCAAAAAGTGTAAAGGCAAGATTAATTTAAGCAGTGTAGAAAGCACTAAGATTTGAGGGTGTATCTCTTTGTCAAGCTAAAGACTTAAGGGTATCTTCAAGCTGTTTTTCCACAAGCGTCAATACCACATTTGGATTGTCTAGCAGTACAAATGTGATCAGAAGCAGAAATGAGCATGCAGCTTTGGTCACTCAACAGACCATGTAACATTTTTTGCTGACAGACAGTACTTGATCTAACTGAAGCATCCTGACACAAAGTTAATGTCTTCAATCTTCAGTGTCATTCAGACTGGGTATTTTTAGTCTAATCTTGGGAGCCCAAAGCTAAATATCTAACTGTAATCTAAGCAAAATATAACAGGATGCAAGGTAAATGTCATTCAAACTGTTTGTTCTGCTTTTAATGGTATCAGAGAAGGCCTTCATGCAATAAGCAGCAAATGACAGAATTGCATGCCTTTAAGCCCAGCTTACTGCCTTTCAAAATTCTTGAGGTTGTGTATTTGCATTGGAGACTCTGAAGTCTTGATTTATAAAGTATTTTTCTAAGAATCTTTTGGAGAGAATTATTGTGTTACAGAAAACACTCAGCACTTATCTTTCCCAATAAAGTAAAAAACCCCACTCTGACCTCTTTATAGACTCAGTATTTTTCTTTAATCTTTGTAAGCAATGTAGTTGTATTTCTAAAGTGCTAAGGTAAGGTTATATAAGAAGCTCATCAACTGTTTGGTTGGTTATTTTTATTTATTTTAGTTATTTTTAGTTAAAAAGAAGTTAGAACTAAGTGAGACAGTAGCTAGGTGAGGGCTAGAAGGGACTGGGGGAGAGGTGGAGGGAGCAGTATATGAAGAAGTGCATAGTCCTGAAGTTTCTTCATTGTATCTGATAACCTGCTGATATTGGGGGGGGGGGTTAATATAACCTGTTGATTTTGGGGGGGGGGTTAATTTTTTTTTTTGGACATGATTATCTCAAATCCTCTCATTCCTTTTCCCATTTCAATACTTGGAAGAGAATGAAAAACACAGTGAAAATTTTAGGTCACTTAGTTTGCACAGTGTGCAGTCATCATGCTAAGTTTGCAAACACGTATCCCACCATGTATTTTAAATGAACATTCTATCAAGAAATTAAACAACAGAATAGAAATTAAGGTTAAATAATTTTCCTAGAAGATTATAAACATATTCTATTATTCTCATTCTTTTTGAGACCTAATTTAATACTAAGGTGAGATGCTTTTGTTTCTAAGAGAACCTGTAGCGGTGGCCTTACCCGGCTAAGCATAGCAGAAAGGTGATCCACCCTGTCTGGAGTTTGGAATAGAGGGTTATCTTTGGCAATAAGCTGGAATGAGTTGAAGTCAGGGCTTTCACAAAGCTTTGAGTGGTAGGAGTAGGCCATGCAGACCTTTGTGCAAAGGGAGCTTAGATTAGATGGCAAATACTGAGGGAAGCTAAATGTGTATATACATATTAGATGATGGCCTAAGCTATTTAAAGATAGCTGAAGCAGGAGAACTTTAGAAATATTGTGGTTTGCTGGAGCAATGAATCCTAAAATGTCTTCGTTTCTGTTGTGAAATTATGTTCAAACAGTATTTGGATTGGATTGTGTTACGGAATTTGTGCGAATTGTTTTTTCTAAAACTATTAGCGTTGAAATTTTTCGTCTAAAGTGTAAAAAGTTTTACAGAGCTATTCCTCTAAAGATTTACATCTACTCTTAGCATCCACCAGGCATAACTTCCGCAGAATTTCTTTGGAAGAAGTGATGGAGCTATTGGGAACTGGATTTCTGCGTGGAAGTTGTGGATTTCTACGAGCCAGTGGTGATATGTTGAAAGGGACCAGTTCAGTCAGCAGAGATGTTAGAGTTGGAGTCACCCAGGTTTGGATTACGTTAGTTACGATTTTCTGAGATTGCTAAACATTCCTATTATGACTGTTTTGCTGTCTATATATCTCTTATTTAATCCTTTTTTGTATCTGTGACAAAATGTATGTACTTTAAAACAGGGATTGATTTTTTTTGGACATGATTATCTCAAATCCTCTCATTCCTTTTCCCTTGAGTTATGCTAGAAAGAAAATAAAAAAAGATTTCTGATGTTGCTTATTGTTTACCTGATAGTTTGAAATTTTCAAAATTGAATATTTATTACTTGTGAAAGCTTCACGTGATATGAATTTCAAGTAAGTATATAAATAAGTACTATCCTCAGATTTTTAATTTAAAACTTAATAACTTATGTCGAAAAATGAAAAGGAGAAGTTACAAGATACAAGAATTCTTTGAACTTGGAACAGTTTCCTTCTATATAGGGACATTCCCAGTTCTATTCTGAAAGAATGGTTCTGCTTTGAGTAAGTGCATGAATAGCAAGGAAAACAGAATTTAGTGGAAAAAGGCAAGTATCTGTTTTGCTGTGTTCCAGGATGCTCAGTTAGAGGATGGAGTCTTATTAACTGAGCAGGACTGAAGTCAGACCATATAGTGCATGCTGGTAAAAACAGTATAGATTTTTCTGATAATATCAGATTGGCTTCTTCCTGTAAATATTATCTTAAATGGCATTTACATGCTAAAACCTAGATATTCCTATGTTAAACTTGTGAATCAAGACTAAAGATCATGATGAACATTTATGTATCAAACAGCTGTGAGTACTTTAATATATTACAGTCCCCACAGCTATTTGATACCTCCCGTTTGCCAGTAAGGGAGTTTTTCAGTGCATTGCACCTTCTGCAGTGCAAAAAATCTGTAAAGTAGCTTGAACTACTGATAGAAGCTGCCAGACTTTGCACTGAAACAGCTAGAAGGTGCTCACAAATTGTCTTCTATGCTCAGATCGTGCTGGGTGGAAGCATTAACTTCTGGCAGAGAGACAGAAAAGCAGGGGAACAATAATACCTTGACAGCTGTTTGCCTAGAAAATGCATGCCAGACTCCTAGGGTGTTCTATATACATGGTGGTTTTATTAATTTTCCAGGAATAGATATTTCAGTTCAGTATTTTGACTATTTGTACTGGGTTTTGGAGGTTGTCTCCTTTTTCTATGTTAACACAATAGTACCTGTGCTAGATGGTATACTCTAACTGTACCAGAACAGTTAAAATAATGCAATATTTCTGTAAGAAAAACTTGAGAAATTGTGTGTATATCAGTGCCTGAGTAGCAAACACTTGCAGTTATAAAATATATTAATATGTGAATTGCAGCTTATTGTAAATTAAAAAATAAGAAAAACACTGAAGATGATTTCTTACATATAGAAGAAGAATTTACATTTGTTCAAGACAGAGCCAGGTTCAAGATGTAGTTCAAAATGTAGCCATGGCGGTATGATTCTTCACAAGTCTATTTATCCTGTTAAATTCCTCAGTTTTCAAATCCGTACAACAGGGGTAATGTACTGGTACATTATGAAGCCTAAGTAGTATTTGTCAAGAGCTATTAGTTGCTGACAGAATCTAATAGTACAATTTCTCCATCTACAGTACTTCACTTTCTTTTACGTGAATAATTTTGTTGTTAATATTAGACACGAGACGAAGTGTGTATGAGGCAAATACAGAAGTTCATTGATATGGGTAGTGGTTGTGAACTTCCTTATGAGGAATTTTGTGTGTTCATTTACATATTCTCATTTTTTGTATTCCCTTCTTTTGATGGTAGCACATCTATTCATTAAAAAATCCAACACATGCACATGGAAGGGATTTGTAAGGGAGCGTATTATGTGGCAAAATAAATGGTCTTGTGGTGATTAGATTTGTAAAGTGACTCTGCATTCTTTGTCTTTGTTGTGACAAACATCTTTTTATGGTACCTCCACAGCAAGGCAAATAATTAAAATTCATTGAGAGGAAGAGCAGTGCTTGGGGGCTGCATATATTCCCTAATTCAAAGCCTATAATAACTAAATTCTTTCAGGGTTATGGGTTATAGTTTTGTAACATAGTAGTTCTTAAAATGCATTCATACATTAAATTTGTGTTACATGTGCAGAATGTTAAATAGCTGGAAGCTGTTGTTCAGTGAGACCAAACACAATGTTTTACATAACAAGTGCCTGTGCAGGGTAAACTGCCATTCCTCACACTCTGGAATGAAATAACATGGGCAAGCAGCTTGAATTAACTTACAGTCAGAGCAGGCTGCAGTACAATTTTGATAGTAATTTAAATTATTGAAAAAGACCCCAAAAAATTGCAGCTACCAGAAAGTGAGAGTGTATATGATTTATGGATGCATAAATGTATAAGTAATCTCAGTTTAGTGATGTTCTAGTTGTGGCAATACCCAGAGACTGAAAAAAAATGTGTGGGGTAGTTGGCAGTGTTTTTCCAGATGATTTTGCTCTAAAATATGGCTTCTTTTCAAATCTCTTCCAGGCATATGTGGTATTTGTCTCTACATTAGGAGCACAATGGCTTGAAAGGAACTTCTCTGCCTTCCTTTCCCATATTCTAGATCTCGTATCTCAGTCTCACCCTAAGGCTATTCAGAGTCAGATGGATGCTATCGGCTGTCGCCGCTGTGTTTCCTTTATCCTTCGAGCTACAGTAGGAGGCCTTCTTGGGGAAAAAGCTCAAATTGCAGCTGCCAAAGAGATTTGTCAGGCCATCTGGAAACTGAAGAAAGTTGTGGGTATGAGTCTAACAAGATTATCCTTTTGGGCCTCTGTTTTTCCTTTTCTAAGTGATTGTCCAACTTCCTAATCCAGAGACTGCAGAAATAGAATATATAGTGCTGATTTATTACCATAATAATGTAGAGGGCTTTTGATGGACTGCTTTGTTTTTCACTTGGGCTGGTTATTTGTGTAAATGTCTATTTCTGCATGTGTGTGCCCACAGAAGTGTAAACATCTGTTTTAACACTTCTTCCCTAGTGGATATCATTTTAACCAGTTGCAAACAGAATAAAATAATAAATATATCCAGTAATAAAATACAGATGGTATTGTAAAATAAGTTAAATTGGCAGTTAATGTATGTCTTGCCAGATTCTGCCTTCTTGTTGAGAGCAGCTGACACTACTGATGGTTCAAAAAAGAAGCATTTGTTCCTAACTGACAAAATGAGCATTTCTCCTGGAGAAAACAGATCTCTTGCATGATAAAGTCTTGTACAGAGCTTCCAAAAAAAGCTGCTGATCTCCACCATCATCCTTGTAGGGGAAAAGAAAGAATGCTGGGTATAACCAGTTGTCCCCTGTTGTACAGCTGCATATTGTATCCTAGTTAAATACCTAAATGTTAAATGTCTAAACGGACATACATATTTGTGTCTCAAAAGATGAACTTTCAAAAAACTTCAAATTTTTCTCTCCCTCTTTATTCCCTGCCCCTACCTTCTTGCTTGCTTGCTATCATACTATTTCACTTTTTCCTTCCCTTTCTTTTTTCCTGCTGTGTAGTAAAACCTGGCAAATTATATCAAAGCATGATCTCTTCAAGTCACTTCTGGTGAGGCTGAGAATAGCATGTTTCTTACTAGCCACTGTTCCCCATCACTTAAAGATAAGCAATTGGGTAGTTTCCATTTTATCTACCCTCCTGCCCTCACGGACATTGCTACACTATCCATTTGAGTAACGGAAATGTACTTGTCCCAGTGAAGGTAAACCTTTATGAAAACAGTTTGGTCAATAATAAAAATGGCAATGATAAAATCTCATTTGGTAATATAAACAACTTATCGTAGCAGAATCCTTTTTCCGATCTGTTTGTTTCATTTTGGCTGTGATTTCATGGGGATCTTCCTATATTGTGTTATCAGATGCTGCAATGAGTGACAGTAACTTGGAAACAAGAATTAGTACAACAGATGTAACAGCAAGTCAGCATGTGCTTGTGTGTGCGCTTCAGGAACTTGGAAGTCTCATCCAGGGCTTAGGAACTACAGCAGCACCATTACTGCAAGACTCCAGTGCAGGTACAAGCCCTGAATTATTTTGTGAAGCAGAGTACAAAATATATTCCTTTGTTCACTGTGATCTCTGATTTCTGATGACTAGACTGTCAATTCTTCTACCCTTTTCTATTTTCTTCTGCTAAACTAACAACTACAACCAAAAGAAAAACCAAACAAAAAACCCCAAACTAAACCCACCAAAAAAAAAAAAAGGCAACAAAAAGAAGGAGGAGAAGAAGTTGGCTACCTTGCATGCTGTAGGAAGTCTTCAACCATTGTCCAGAGTTCTGTATCTTCTCCGACCTGCACTAGTACGTTAATTTTTAAAAAAAAAAAACAAAACAGTATCACATTTAACTCCATTAAGGGTTGTATTTAAAGTCGAACACTTCGTAATGTTTATAGTAAATCAGTTTGAGCTGGGTATCTTTATCTGCCTTTATTGTTTCCATTTAGCTGCATTTTTTTCTGGATGGGTTCAAGACGGTATCTGGTTCCACTGCGTGGATTTCTGTTTCCTTGGAAATAGTTACAGATACTTTCTCTGCATGTTGGTGAATAACTGCATAATATGTTAGGTTTTCTCCGTATTGTTACTTTTCATTCAGGTTAACTTTTTTTTGAAAAGCATTGAAGTATTTCAATTTGATAAGAAATATTTCACAGTAAAAATCAATAGTACTTTTTAAAGAGAAGTACAGAAACTGGATAGTAGTATGTTCAGCAGTCCTCTGTATAGATTTTTTGCTTGTTTGACAATCTGCTTGCCTATTTCTTAAGTGTGTTTATGCATTTTATTTTTCAGGCGTTCTGGAAGTAGTAATTTCTCTCATTCTTCATCCCAGCATTTCAGTTAGACTAACAGCAGCTTGGTGTCTACGCTGTATTGCAGTAGCATTGCCCTCCTGTGTGTCCCTACTGTTGGATCGTTGCATTGAACGTCTTACTGCATTGAAATCCTCCCCAGAAGCAGTAACTGGCTACAGTTTTGCTGTTGCTGCTTTGCTGGGTGCGGTAAAACACTGTCCTTTAGGAATTCCACATGGAAAAGGGAAGGTATGGTCTGAATACTTACATGCAGTTCTTTGCTGTTTTTGCAGTAGTAGTTGCATGTATTCTTTATGACATGAATACATAACCCAGTATACTGATGAGACACTTCCTTTCCTCAAGAAGGGGATTTTGAAGCATACCATAACTCAAATAAGCAAGTGTTTTCCTCACATATGTCAGGATTGTGAATTTCTCAGGACATGTCACTAATGACTTTATTAACCACTCATACGGCTGCCTTTTTGTAATGGAGAAGTTTGTTAGGGGAGAAGTTTGTTGCTTTGGGACAGAGGTCAGTTCTGTGGAACTGTAAGGACTTAAATCGAACAGTCTAAGAAAAGGTTCACCTGGAGAAAACATTTCTTGAGTAGTGTTACATTTTTCAGAATTTCCAACTAAATTCTTTACAGCAAGATCAAACCTTCTGCAATCCTGGTGCAGTTCGATATTGGCTTAAATTAGAAAGCTGACATTTCAGCAGTGTTAATGGTGAGAAAAGGCTAGTTTAGAGTGTGTACAGCTGAAGTGTATCAGACTTTGCCAAAGGAAAAGATCTTTCTTTTATAAAAAAAAAAATTAGAAGTATACATACGGATGTATTGCATGCTGTGATGTTAGAAATAAGTTGTTCAACCACAGATTAAGCCAAATTAGTATTTCCCAGGCCCATCAGTGACTCTCCAGTGTATAGTTTAGTCACTGCTTACACCAATAACAGCAATTATATATTATCTTGAAAATCTTTGGTCAAGTCCAACAAAATCTTTAATCAAATCCAACAGATACACACTTTCATTTTGTTTTACGGAATTTAACAGAAACCAATTTCTTGCATTAACGTAGTCCAAGATGCTTATACCAATCTCTCCACTAGCACAGATAGGATATACTATGCTCTGAAGTTTTAGGGATATGCAGATGTAGAAATGCAGACCAGGACAAGAAGCTGTTTCCATCTCAATGAGAACTTTTTCCATGGAGTTACTCACAGGTGGAAAACCGTGTTGCAATATAAATGTCAGCAGTACATGCTAATTCTCTGTATAATGTAGAAACTTACATTCTCAGTTCTGAAAATACTTATTTTGGAGCCAGTGAACATTAGAGAAGAAGTGGCATGCTTTGACACAAGGATTGTGTTTTTTTCCTTGTTACTACACCACTATAAGATGAAAGGAATATTTTAGTGCCATAGGAAAAATATCCCTTGCAGTGATTACAGAGTACCTTTTCTGCATTGTTGAGTACTAATAGTTCCACACCACTCCTTAACAGACATTGCTAGCTACAGTTCTCACCAAAGTCCCAACTGCTGATGAAACAATTTATAGATGTAAAAAAAAAAAAAAAAGAAAAGGCCTGTTTTTCTTACCTTTTAAAAACTTTTCCTTGTGGTTACTTAAAAACCATGGGGAGAGACCAAAATGAGTATCGTTTGCCCAGTTATGTGCCATTCAGCTACTATGTACCTAAGCAGAGCTAAAGTTTCTGTTTAACAGAGAAATGTAATTGTTAACAAAGATTTCTTTTAGAGGAATAGAGTAGGATGTAATAGGGCTAGGAGGAGGTATGGGAGGGCATGGAAAAGTGTGGGAGAAATGCTGTATTCTGTACTAAGCTGGCAGGGGGGAGAACAGAGGAGTTGACAAAAGCCCCTTTTCCATTCTCTCCTAGGAACAGTGCCAGATTCCAGACTAGCTCCTCTTCTGAGGAGCTGAAAGGGACCAGTGTTAAATAGTGCGGTTTTGAAAAGCAAATATCAAACGTAGACAGCAGTGACCTGGATAGAAGCTGGTTTATATTAATGCATTTTCCTTTGAGAGAGCAGTTAGAGTTGCAGGTGGAACCTATTCAAGAAAACAAAATGATTAGTGGATTTGTATATATTTAGCATTCCATACTAGTGCTTATCCTTCAGTTCAAAAAAATCCTTCAAAAATAAGCTATTTCTCCTAGTACATAGAGAAAAAAATTGTCAGAAATCATTAAATGAAATCCTTTCTAGGATGTTTGTTTTACAGGTAATTTAAGTATACTAAGCTGTTAGTGATTTTTAGTAGTATAATTTAACAAGGGTACTGTTTTGATTTTAGAATCAAACATTTTAACTCTATCAGGAATCTGCAAAAATAAATTTCTTCATTTGCAGCCATCTGATAGCGTTATGGAATTGGGGAAACTAACCTTCTGACTGTTAATATTTCATCAAGTTTTGGAAGTGTACTGATTTCAAACTTTCATGAAGCAAACTTTCATGTTGAAACTTTCATGACATTTTATAAGTGTGCAAATAAATTTTAGAAGGATGTTGTCTATAATGTCCAAATAAATTGTAGTGTTCAAAAAAGTAATAGAAGGATGTTGTCTATTCTGAGGCTTTTAATGATGTTATTGATAATGATGCTTCTTACTTGTAATATTAATTTATAAGCAGTTTGTTTTGGTGACCAGCCGTAATGCAAGATATAAGAAATATTTTTTGGCATGTGCGAAACATAATTGAAGCAAACCACTTGCAGAACACTTTTAGCATTTGTAGCCATACTGTGGTAGTTGCCCATGGACACAGTGTGTGTTCCTCCATCTAAATTCTAGGTAGCTTGTGCTTTGGTAACGAGTGCGGATTGTCACCTTGCATTTAGCACATAATAGTAGGCATGTGCAATTATTGCAGAGAAGCTAAGATAGGATTGATTCTAACTATACTGTTCTAACTTGTTTGTTTAGTCATACCATTTGTTGGTTTAAAAACTGTCAGAGAGAATGATAGACCTTATTCTAAAACAAGGATAAAAAGATCATTACCCCTCTCACCACTTCTGAACTCTAATTCATAGGTCTCATGCTGTCCTTTTTTTACATAGTGACATAAATAGAATATCAGAAGTCGTCTATCGTTGCCATGCATATTCCTGTGAGAATTATCAGCTGTCATTTCACTGGTGATAAAAGAAAGGGGACAAAGCAGCAAAGTAACTTACCTAGTGCCAACAGAACTGTTGAAGCTGTCCCAGCCTACTACTGAAGTCAGTCATTGCAATTTCATGAGCCTCAGTTTGTTGCCATAGTGTGAGAGGAAGATGGCATTCTGTTCGGAGACACTGAAATAGGATTAAGTATCACAGCAAATAGTACTGAAAAAAACATTTGGTAGTTACTAAGATGATGATGCTCTGTTTTTCTCTTTAACTTTGAAGGTAATCATGACAGTAGCAGAGGATCTGTTGTGTTCTGCTTCTCAGAACAGTCGCATTTCACTGCAGCGAACACAGGCTGGATGGCTGTTGATAGCTGCCCTCATGACATTAGGTAGTAGCTTTCTACAATTTTTCTTCAACTACATTAAGCTCTTCTGTGTTCTGTCTCTGACTTTAGTTCTTTTGATGTTTCTTTTAATTTGCCACTGCAAAATAATTCTAAAAAAACAAATGCTAATTGGAATCTTTCTAAAATAAAAATATCACTTCTTTCAAATTTGCTATTAGTTCATTGGGAGCAATGTCTGAAAAATAGTGACTGAGTGAGACTGCTGTTAATTAAATATAGAAGATAAATTTGAAAGTCCATCTAACCAAATGTCTTTGTCATCACAAAGAATTACGCTGGTATTTTTTAACATCTATCACAGCACAAAATGAGCTAATATATTGTATTTCCATCTTGTCAGGCATTTGAAATCTTGCAGAACTTTCTGGTATTTTTAGCGGTCAGATTATTGGCTATGATCACTAAATTACTAATGAAGAATGTATTTTATCTGTTTTGTTCATATTTTTAAGGCACCTTTCATGTTTTCAGCTATTGCTTTTGCCCAACAGCTCCCAGTTTTTTCTTAGATCAGGGAAAACACACCTTGTGCATTAACCTGTAACAAATGTTTACTTTTCTGAACATCACTATTGGTTGTTACATCTCTTTTATGCTGGTGATCCACAGGGTCTGTACTTAATAAAACAGAGATTATAGTTGGCTTGGTCGCATACTAGTAAGTGTGTCAGTGGGTATGTAGTTAAGTATGAAAATGGAGTACCAAGACAGTAAACATTTGCGAAATTATATATGAGCTGGCTGGGAAAGTAACATAAAGTTTTGCTCACAGCTGTAAAGATTTTGTGAACATAGAAAAGAGAACCAAAGAGAAAATTTAATTTAATTAGTCCTTACATTGGCATGACAACTGTCAACATTTACAGGTCCTGCAGTTGTCCAACACCATCTGCCACGAATGCTGTTACTGTGGAAGTGCATCTTTCCGTCATCTCCTAAAGACCTAGAAACAGAGAAGACACGAGGAGATTCATTTACCTGGCAAGTAACACTGGAAGGTCGTGCTGGTGCTCTCTGTGGTAAGTGGGATTTACTGTGTCTTTCTCTGCATATTTATAGTTGGACTGTTTGTTTATTTTTCCTTCTGAAAGAACAATGATACTTCATGTTGATGGTTTTTTTCACTGAATGGTAAAGGATGTATTCACTTCCCAACATACATGCTTGTATGTATATATTTACCTATATATATGTCTCTATATACATGTGTTTCATTTTCATAAAAAAGAAACAAACAAACCACCCAAAAGGATTTTTTCTCTTGTTCTTCTGATCAGTTGATTTCCAGGCAGTAAATGATATCAGGAAGGTTGCTTCTCTTCTCTTGTTTAACATATGTATTACAGTAATGATGCAAACCAAGGTATGTTCTGTTGTTTATACAGTCTGTTGTGTTTGGTAAATAGCAGTTCTGTTTCCTAATAGGTAGCTTACTGTAAGCTAAATAGAATTGGTGAGTCAGTCAAACACATTTGTGAGAGTGGGAAGACTCAGGTAAAAATTACAATAAGGAAGTTGCAATTCTCAGCCAGTAAAGAGTACTACGTATTTGGCTGCTGTCTGGCAGGTTGCAATTTTTCCTCATGAAATACTGTGAATTTGGGTTTCCAAGAGATGACTCCAGTGATCTTCAAATACTTAATGTGTTTCAGTCATGTGTTCTAGAGTACTAAAGAGTCCTTTGCATTGCAGAAATGTGAACCTTAGTATAGTGATCACCCCCCTCTCTCTCCCTATCAGAAAGTGTGGAATTCAATAGTAATTTCATTTTAGAATTAACCTAAACAATTAACCTTTAAATAGTCTTTTTTTTTTTTCTTTTAGAAATGGGTCTTTAATACTGTATATTCTCTAGGTGCTTTTTTAATGTAAATAATGAAAAATACTTGTGTACATATAAGTTCTTTCTTAAAGTAAAGTAATTAAGCTAAATTTACACAGAAAACTAGCAAAGTAAACATTAGGTCATCTGATCATCGTTCTTCTCCCATTTTTTTCTTTTTTTATTATTATAGTGGAATTATGGTGAAGTTAAGTTATATCTCATAACTCAATTCATAACAAAAAGCAAAAAATCCTTGCATTTATATATGCAATTAAAAGTTGGGATATGAACATCCAAGCTGAGACACCAAAACAATGCATCTGTAAATACAACTTTTATAATTTGAGATTTTTATCAGTTTCTTAAATTATTAGTCATAATATTTTAATTTTTTTTGCATGTTTTCTTCTACTTTTAAATTATTAGTGAGGTAATAATGTGATTACTTCACTAATGTGATTTTTTTTCTTCTAGATGTCTCACAGTAAGTAAGTTAAAATCCAATTCCTTTTCTAGCTATCAAAAGCTTTGTTTCCCACTGTGCTGGTCTTCTTACTGATGAAGTTGTTCAGAGACTTCTTCCTCCTCTTCCAAGTGCTGTTGATTTATTGACACAGTAAGTGTGTGTATAAAACTAAATGGGATTCTGGTTTTCAAAAGCTACAAAGTAATCTTCTTGCATTTGATATAGAGCACTTTCTAAAGAGCTTTCTTTTCAAGGTACAAAAATTAGAGTATAGAACTCAACTGTATAGCTGAGGACTTCAGCTAGCGTAATAATGTGTCTTGCAGATTCCAGTATCATGTAAAAAAGCTAGGGAAGAAATTATTGCATGGTTTTGTTAAGTTAGTGTTTTTATTCTGCTTTTTTAATCAAACATGCATGTTCCTGTTTGCACATGATCATTTTTTATAAAATAATAAACAAAGTTCAAGAATATGCTTGAACAAAAAATTTTAGACATGGGCATTTTTTATATTTAGATTCCAAGCTAAGCTGGAAAGGGTTTTATAATTTTTAAACTTTTGCCTTCAGAACCTGTAGTGATTTAATGTATTTGGACTCTGAACTCTAACTTACAGAGATATATCCACAGAAAAGTTAATTGTAATAAATACAAGTACAATCAAAGGAAATAGAAAACCTCATTTATTTCTCTAGTATTAAATAAAAATAATGACTGGGAATGAAGAACAGACATTCTGTCAGAACATGTGAAATAAATTGTTTTGCTCCTACTATTGGTAATGCAAATCAAAACTGTACTGTATAATATGTATAGATTTTTAAAGCATTTAGTAGAGTGGTACAAATGAAACTGGAGTGTTGCATAATGCTTAAAGTCTTTAACATCTCTGATGTGCTTTTTATTTTTTAAGGCTTTCTTCAATATATAAATCATATGGAAATTCTTTAAAAACACCATCAATGGTTTACAGACATAAACTTTATGAATTACTAGCAGTATTGCCTCCAAAGGCCTGTGAAGGTATGTATTTCCTCACGAAGATAAACCTATAAAAGATACCATGGGCTTATTTTTAAGTTTTTATTCAACATATAGTCAGCTAGCAAAAATTAATTCCACCTTTTCTAATACAGAAATTTTATTCCCTCTGTATAAATTTGATGAAACTGTGGTGAAGTTACTGTGGTTTTGAAAACCTAGTGTTCATGATCTTTTTTTCTCCTCTCTGGTTACAAATACAGACTTTTGTCCTATTTTTAGTTAAAACTTGAAGGTAGACAACCTTGCAATTTTAAACTATTTGAAGAATTTACTTTCTTTGATGCCTGTTTTACTTTCCATTGAATCCTAAATCGAAAAGGTGTAATCTTAGCATAAACCAATTACATATAGTCCATTGAAAGAATTTAATGGCTTCAAGTAGACTTATATATTACAGGTGTATTAATCTGATCCTGTGCAGATTGTGGATAAAATTTTGTATTTAAAGAAAAATTTCAACAAAATCTGGGGATAGATTTACTTTTCTGTAGCAGAACATAACTAGCAGTATTTAAAATCTAATCCTCTAATCCAGTAACTATGGACTGTAGTTAGACAGGTCTATCAGTTCAGCTAAAACATTAAATATCTTTTTCATCTTTAAATTGCTTGCCATAGAGTACTGTATGGACTGAAATAAGGAACCAGAGTGTTTTTGACAGTTGGAAAGAGAAGTACAGGGTATTTCATCAGGACAGAGAGAATATGGGCCAGCCAGGCACTGAATTGACTGTGCCTTCTGTATCGTGGAGGAAATCCTTACTCAAATAATCGGCTCCATCTAGTGGTAACTGCTAAGTGAATCTTCTTAAAGCTGTTGTCACATTAGGAGTCTGTATATAACACTTGAAGCATAGTGTATAATACTCATTTGTGACTTGAGCTTAAAAGACTGAAAATGACACCTCCATCCTTTAGAGCAAGTTATTTTTGTTCTTTTATTACAGGGACCATGTTTTATAAAATATGAATATTTGGGTATGAACGGGTTTGGCTGTTTCTTGGTGTGTTTGGAATTTTTGCTTATGGTTCGACTTTATTGAAAAATATAGTGTTTTACATTATGACCTGCAAAGCCTGACTCTTGTGAAAGAGCATCCTAGCTGAGGATGCTGCATTCTAGAACCAATAAATAAAATAAAGCTTAAGATTTGTTATAAATAAGTGGTCACCCTGCTGAAGGCTTTGTAAATAGCCTTAGAATCAAAACAGTGATTTGACAGATGTCATCTCAGAGTTGTCCACCTGTTTGTAATACAGCAGTATGAGAGTGGGGAAAGAATGGAAATGCATATGTTGCCAGTGCTTATTTTCAAGGTCAGTTATATATTTTAACACACAAGTATGCATCTTTTAAAAATGCAAAAAAAAAGTTTTTAAAGTAAAGCTTGAAACAAATACCGTTCTTTCCTTATTATTTCCAGTATGTCAACTTCATCCAGAAACTGTATGTCTTTGCAAATACTAGGATTTTAAAAAATAAATTATTTGGGAAAACAATATGACTATGGAACCCAGGCTGCTTTTTTCAATGTCTAATTTTAGTCATTATCATTAGGAGGAATATTAGGACTACTCTTGTGTTGCACAGCCTGGCCCATTTTGTGTGGCTCAGTGACACACTGAATGAGAAATTTTCACCAGTTTATGGTTTTCTCTTTTTTAATTTTCTTCAATCCAGGTAGTTAGCCAGAGGATAGAAACCTGCAAGTTGTTTCTTTTTGAGAAAATTGGTGACGGAGACATGTACTAGGAGTTGTAATCAAGCTTTTAGTATTTGCAAGTAATGTGCAAAACTTGTTTTCTTTAGCACAAGAGGAAGAAAACAAAATACCCAGCAAAATAAACAGTTGAAAACAGATTCTTTGTTCATAGCTCCAAGTCTCTTTCTCAATTCAAACCTTTAGATTTCTGAGGCCTGGGATACTAGGACTTGTTCAGGCTCTGCTTGGTCCCTTCCTGCTCTCTTTCTGCGCCTCTGATGTTTCTCATACTGCTTTCTGTCATCACTAAAAATCAGTATCTGCTCAAACAGCAGAATGGGTCTGTTCAGCCTGGAGAAGGCTGAGAGGGGATCTCGTCAGTACTTAGAAGTACCTTAAAGGTGGATGTCAAGAGGATGGGGCCAGACTCTTTCCAGTGGTGCCCAGTGACAGGTTAAGGGGCAACGGGCACAAACTGAAACTCAAGAAGTTTAATCTTAATATGAGGAAGAACTTCCTTACATTGAGGGTGGCAGAGCACTGGAACAGACTGCCCAGAGAGGTTGTGGAGTCTCCTTCTCTGGAGATATTCAAAACCTGCCTGGAAGTGTTCCTGTGTGACTTGCTGTAGGTGACCCTGCTTTGGCAGGGGGGTTAGACTAGATGATCTCCAGAGGTCCCTTCCAACCCTGATGGTTCCTGTGATTCTCTGATTTTATGGAGGCTTACTGTGAGTGTGCATGAGTAGTAGCTGATTTTTTGCATTATTTCAGCAATGACAGATATGAGAAGAATGTATTAGGTTAACTTGAACATCAGTGAAATACATTAACATGTTTTAGTTGCTGTCTTCCATCATGTGTGAACGGTTAAGACTTTGCAATTTAGCTGATCCAAAGTATGAACTTGTTAAGCTGGGAAGAGCTAGTTCTGTTTCTAAGACGACGATTCATGTTCGTGATCATTTTCATGTGTCATTAGTTTTGGGTTATAATGTGCTTATGTTTTTGAGGCTAAAACGTTTATTTCCTATGAGTTAATGTAAAAAAATTAATTATTATAATGTCCTATTAGAGAATGTCACACAGATCATTTCAGTAGTTTGAATTTTGATTATTAGATTGGTTGATGTTTTCTGTGGTCTGAAATTAATGTGTTTTGTCAGACAACTCATTAGGGTTCTTTCATTCTTCAGCTTTTTGTGCTTGTTATGTTCCATTGTCTAAACCATAAAATTGAATACAAGCATTCACTTCTCTTTCTTAATAGGATGAGATGAATAGCTAGAATGCTGGAACAGCATTCTGGCTCAGAATTTTGAGCTGCTTTACATTGGGATAATATTATTTGACATGTTGAGGGTGCCCAAGTGTCTGGGACTAAAATAAATGTTAATTTGGTTAAAAATTGCTCCTTTAAATTTTATTTGAAAGGCTGTTTTCATGGAAAGGGGATTTTTCAAATTTTTTTAAATTGTGATCTATAACAATTAATGAAAGAGCAGTTTCTAGTTGATTTTAATTATTGTGCTTTTTAAAAAGGCTCAATTTCTGTCCCTTTCACACAGTATCTGTGCATCTTGGAATATATTTGATAGTGCTAACCTTTTGCATTAGATTTGAGTTAAGCATTGGAGGGAAAATTACATACTTGCTAATTAGTCAGGGAGACAGGCAAAGCAGCAGATGCCTGCAGGGGAGGGAGGCTGATGAGGACGGGAGTTTGGGGGGTAGGGTGGAGGAAGTCGGCTTTCTCAGAACAGAATCAAGACTCGGGAAGGGTAAAATAGCTGGTTGCAACTACCAACTCCAGCTATACAAACGGTTCTGCTTGTGCTCATGAGGTGCTGACAACTGTGCTGTCCCACTTTTTGGAACTTCCCTGTGTTGAAAAATTATAAGCAACTTGAGTGCAAATAGGTGATTGTGTAATCATCTAACAACAAAACTGAATGCAAAGAACTGAATATGTGGAGTTAAGTTCCCCCTTAATGCTGATATTTCCCAATTCATCAGGACTTGTCTTTGCAATCTTAATGCTCTGGAGGTAAATTCTCATGTAATATTTACATAAAGACTGTGTACATTCTGTAAGATCAGTTCCGCAGTGTTCTTCAACACAACTTACTTAGCAGATAAGCCAGACCTTTCTCATCACATCTGGTTCAGCACTGGAAATGTTCTCTCACTGCAGAGACTTGTTTTAATAACCTTAAAGTAGTCTGACTTGGAATGCCTAATGTTGTTTATGTATAATATATAATCTTGTCTGAAATACTATGTACAAAAATATGTGAAAGTTTTAACTACCAGTGTAAATTATCATAATGTAACCTACGATAAATTCCTCATGCTTTGCTTTTTGAGTGCGAACTCCTGAAATAGGGGAGTACGTTCTGCAACTTTTTGGTTATTTATCAAACTTACGGATGTTTTAAATTAAATCTGCTTGCCAAGTCCAAGTATTCCTGCGTGGTTATGTAATACATTCCACAGCATTAATTTTCAGGAAATAGAAGAAAAGATGGCTGTGCTTGCAACTGCCTTTTTTCCACTACTTTAATTGTAAATGTAACTGACTTACTGGATTAGCAGTTGTATGGCATTATGCCTTCTGTAAAGGTAAAGATCTCTGTTTTTCAGCTTCTAGATTGCTGTAAGTGCTTAGTTTGCTTATCTTAGGTAGTGCTCTATTGTTTCCCCTGTCAAGAGTGTTCTCCAATTAACTATTTGAAGACTTAAGAAAAATGTTGGATTGATGTTGCTATTTCAGTATAAATGTCTTCTTCCCAAAGTTGCTTGTGGCAAGTAATTAACTGAAAATTTTGAATACTTTTTTCCTTTAATTTAAAGGAAGCTTCTGTGCTGTTCTAAAAGAATTAGTGGCTGACTTGACTGTCCCAGATAGCCAGATCGATACCTCTACATTCTTGCTTCCGCCCCTTTGTCATGAGAATGATCTCCTTTTACTTGGTCCCTTACTGCAGGAGACTGACCACCGATTTATCGAAGAGCAGGTACTTTTTGATCTAGTGTAATGGTGGTATTATATTTTCATGCAGTTCTAGTAATTTGGGTCAGTGCTGGTTTTGACTTGGTCAAAAATATGGCTATCACTTTTTTCTTTCTTACAGCTCCTTTTAGGTAACAGCATAGCTGGTGGCAGCCTGGAATATGACCCTTATTCAATTTATGAAAAAATTGCAAATGGTGATTCAGTACCTAAACCACTACCTCCCATATTGTCTGTTATCAGTGCAGCAACTCGTCTTTTTGGAGTTATGTTTTCCCATGTAGCAGAATCTCACAGGTAAAGTAATAACTGTAACTGTTGGGGAATTCGGGAGATGCTAGAAGATGGTCACAGTGTTTGAGATTGAACACAGAAGAGAACAATTCTGAAAATATAATGAATTATATAAGTGGATTCTCTAAACCATCTGAATAATACAATTCAGACTAACAAATTATTAGACTTTAAACAGAAAGTTACTCACAACAAAAAGACACATCCAGTAAGAGGTTACAGTCATATAATAAATTCTGTTGACCAAGAAAAATAATGTTTTGTTTCGATAGCCAGATCAAAATAGACATTTTAAGAGAATTTAAGAGATATTACACAATGATTATAGTACTTAATATGTAATTACTAAATGCCTTAGAACTAAGGAGGGACAAAATGGGTAGGAAGCTGCAGTAAAATTTAACCCTTATCCTGCCTCACTCTCTATAAAAAGTAGATGGAAAGAAACAAGAGCATGTCTTAACAGAATTCTGTCAAGGTACAAGAATGCTTGAAAGGGATCACAAACTTCTCTTGGTTTTGTGGATATGGACACATGTGGCATTTTTGGGTTGTTTCACATTTATAAGCACTCTGATCGCTGAGGCATGAAATTCCTCAAGATTTTTGCACCCTGTTGCTTATTCTGTATGCTGTTGTTAATTTTCTTGAATGTAGCTTTAGAAGAAATAAATTATTTTTAAATTAAACAGCTTTATATTTTCAAAGCCAACTGTAGTTAGACCTTGAAATCATGATCATTGTAGGTAGTGATGGTTTTGTAATTTCCTGTTAGGGATGAGTGCTTAGCACGCAAGTCCTGAGTATTGATGTCTTCACTGCTTAGAATGTTCAGGATTTAGTGTAATCCCAAGGCAGTTGTTTGTAGATGAGCATACCTGCCAATAAAATTGCCACATGCTTTATGATATGTTCTTCTGACTTGCATTTACTTCCTTATTCTGTCTTCACCGACTGCTTTTTTTCATGGGTTTTTCTCTATTTGTCTGGGCTTTTTGCCCCTACTGTCACCAGGTTGCTGGTTGTTTTTCTTTACCTGTTTCTCAAGACCTGAACTAACTGCTGCAGATGGCTGCATTTTCGTTTTCTGTTTCTTTTCCCTCCTCCTTTCTTGGTTGTAAGTCAAAATGTATTATTCCCATACACAGTTCCTTTTAATAACATCTGTCTAATGTTACTTAGATATAGGTGATTTTTTGTGAATACGTATGGTATAAGGAAACAAAGGCAAAAAGTTCATGTTCATAGTGTAATTACCTATTCTAATATGGAATACAAAAATTTTTTGTAGTAGACAGGGATGCCAGTTGAAGGAAAATGCTCAAGACTTAGGGTAATAGATTTGTTCCAGCTGTGTTTCTATAATATATAGGCATTGTTATGCATTTTGAAATAAAATAGAAAAGCTTGATTTGTTTCCTTAATTTTTAATTATGTGATGTCTTTTCTGTTTTTGTTTAAGGCTCCAGGTGTTAGAACAGTTGTTGAATTCCATAAAGCAAACAAAAGGATCACGGCAACAAATAGTACAACTAAATGTTGTGTCAGCCTTTTCTATTTCCTTAAAGGTAAATCTCCTTTGTTTCTCTCTCTCTGTGTTATTAAAACATGGCATGTGTTGGTTCAAATGAGCATACACAGAAGTTCTTATGTTGATTAACGGTCAAGGTGAAGATCAGTCCTGTTTTCTGTGATAATATATTGTTTTGTGATGTCGCACTTTTCTTAAGAGCTGAATAGTCACAGTTTAATTTTTCCCTTTTTTTAATGTTAAAGGGTTAGGGAAACCCATTCCAGTACACTGTAGTATACTATCATCCATACTAGTGTCATTCAAATAGGAGAGATGGGAAAATTCTGTTTGTATCATTTCTGTCTTTATCACAGAGATAAGAAACATAAATATATATGTCTCATATTTCTTACTGTATAAATAAATAAAATGTAACGATTGGTAAAATAAATTAATCTCATAACTATCTGCCGTTTGTTGCTTTTCCCTTTGCTTTATTTCTGTTTTCCTGTGTTCATGTGCAGTTTTCATTCTTCCCCCCTTAGGCTTTCTTCAAACTAAGGCAAAACATTTTCAGTATAGACAAGACCTTTCATTGTACAATATATGTATTTAGGGCTTATTTAATATGCAATCCAGATAACTGCTGTAGCTTTTGCTCATACTCTTTTTTTTTTTTTTTTTTTTGGACTGGGATTTTTCTTTGTGTCATTATTCTGTTTTCACTGGTTTTCTTCTTGATACTGTTTCCTGAATTTTATGCTAGTGTGTTGGTTTATTAGGTTCTACTGCAATCTGTGTAGGATTTCTTAAAATCAGAATGTTGATACTATAATGTTGTGCTATGATGTACACTTATGTGGGGTTAGACTTACTTCTAACTGTCAAAACAGCAAATAAAAATAGTGGAATTTGTCAGATAAAAGGGGAAGAAAACAAAATTCCTTCTGCAGATCTTGTAATTTTTGCATGACTGACAGAAAAAACACATTCTGGTCACTATACTGTCTTACTGTTTAATATATTTAATATCTATTTTTAGCACTTGGCTAACTGCAAGGGAAGTTTAGGTCCAGAAGAAGTTAGAAGGTCTGCCCTAACATTGGTAATGGGTGCCTTGGAAAGCAATCATCCACTCCTAAGATGTGCTGCTGCAGAGTGTTTGGCCAGATTGGCACAGGTGGTTTCTGACAGTGCCTTCACTGCTGGATTAGCACAAGTCAGTTTTGACAAGTAAGTTCAAAAAAATTGTGGTAAGTTACTGGTTAAGTTTATAAAATGTTTGAGAAATCTACCTGGCCCCTATTATGATAATAATTTTTAAAAGCTAGTTTCCTTCATGAATTTGATATCACTTCAGAAATTAACAGGAAAAAGCACTGCCTGACTTCTGCGTGTATTTCTTAGTTTTGCTGATCTTTAAGAAGATTGTCTAAGCAAGCATGTAGACTTTCAAATTAATTAAATTGACTGCTGTTGTAGCAACATCATTTAAGTGTATCTAAAATATTTTTGGTACTTCCTTCAGATAAGAGGTGATAAATGAACTTAGAATTTTGGCAATACAACACTGTCTGATAAAATATTTTGCTGATTATATACTAGAAGTTCCCTTTGTAGATGTGCTTATTACATAGTATCAGTCTTGGTGATTACACTAACAGCTTGCTTTCTTTATAATTAATAGGCTAAAATCTGCTAGGGATGTGGTATCAAGAACAGGTCATTCTTTGGCTCTGGGATGTCTGTATAGGTACCTAGGCGGAATAAGTTCTACTCAGCACCTGAATGCATGTGTTGGAATCCTTTATACTTTATCTCAGGACAGTACTTCTCCTGATGTACAGGTACTTGTCACTTATCTAGAAATGTTATGTTACAAATTAACTGATTTATGTTCAGAGTGTAAGTTTTTTTTCTTGTAAGACTAATACTTCACAACCGCTTAGGCATACCTCACAGATGATGGCTCGAGCGGCAAAGGCGATGAAAACCATAGCCCCTGCTCAAAATGCACTTTCCAAGTAAGAGCTATGATGAGATGTGGGAGGTTCTTATTTAATGATTGATGAGGCTGATAAGGCTAAGATATGCTGACTTCACAAACAATATTTGATGTTTTATGAGTTTATTAATTTCACATTCACCTATATCTTGACCTTGACTAGATAGAATCATAGAATGGTTTGGGTTGGAAGGGACCTTTAAGGATCATCTAGTCCAACGCCTCTGTAATGAGCAGGGACATCTTCAACTCCATCAGGTTGCTCAGAGCCCCATCCAGCCTGACCTTGAATGTTTCTAGGGATGGGGCATCCACCACCTCTCTGGACAACTTGTTCCAGTGTTTCACCACCCTCATTGTGAAAAATTTCTTTCTTATATCTAGATAGTACCTAGGTTTTTTTGTTCGTGTCAGTTTTTGTCTCTACTATGATGTTTACCTCACAGCATTTTTTGTTGAAGGGTTATGTAGTAAATAACAGGGATTTGTAGCCTGAATGCTGTAGAACTTGGTCAATATACTTCCTTGAATAAGGCAAGATGTTTTGAAAACTAATTCAAATTATTTCTATGTGGCTAAAACTGTGTATTCCATGTAGTTGTTTAAATCTCAGTTAAAGACTTTTTTTAAGCTTTGTCTACAATATCTTTACACAGAGAAGAACTGTATGTTGACATGAAACAGATGTGGCTATTGGTGCAAAGTAACTGACACTAAAATAATGTGTTGTTTCAGCAACTCTGTTGTAGTATTTTTTCAGAATTCTCTTGTTCTTCCACATGGAACTATAAGAAATTTTACAAAGAGTAGAATGTATTTGAGGAATAATATTCACTATTAAATTAATTTACTGTTAGATTAATTTTGATTTTTAATTAACAATGACAAATCTAAAATGGTTCTTTCCTTGCAGAACATACATTGTAACATATTCAAAATGGCTATTAAGCATCAAGTTCTTAAAGTTTCTTTCTATAACCTCTTCATTTGTCACTTTGGAACCTAGAAGTGCAACTTCTATTACACTTAATTACTGAATTTCACTTAAACAATCAAATTTTAAAAGGATCTTATGTTTATTCTATCATTACAGCTTACATTACATGACTGCTGCTCTTATTTTACAGGCATGGGCACTACACTCTCTGTCACTGATAGTAGATTTAGCTGGCCCCTTGTATCATGTGCATGTGGAACCTACCTTATCTCTTGTTCTCATGTTGTTGTTGACTGTGCCACCTGCTTACACTGAAGTTCACCAAAGCCTTGGTCGCTGTTTAAATGCACTTATTACCACCCTGGGCCCTGAGTTGCAAGGTATGCAACATGCAATAGTGTCAGCTTTGTTTGGTTTAGCAACAAAATTGCTAAACATTGTTTGAATGAATTTTGTAAACAAATAAATGCATACTAAGTTTTTTTTCCTTGTTGTAGGAGTATTTCACAGGCCATGAGTTTATGCAATGAAGATGACACGACTGCTAGTTTTCCAAAAATAGTCTCTCTTTTTGACATCTTTTCCATTGTTTGGTTCTCCAAGCCTTGCCTTGGGCTGAAAATTCATTTAGCATGAAAACAGAAGGTATTCATATTTCAAGAATTAGGAGCCAGTCTATGTCTTAGTTATGATGCAGACATTTAAAATTTGCAGACATTTAAAATCTAAATCAACTTTTAGATAGCTGGACACTGAAGTTTCCAGAGAGCAATGTGATGGTTACTCGTTGATATCAGAGTATAACACAGATACAGAAAGGATCCTTCAAGAGGATGAGAGTTATGGATGGCTTGAGAAAAAGACAGGTTATCATGTTTTGAAAAAAAAAGTTGTTTTAAAAACAAAAACCTTTTTTCTTCTGAATACAGGCAGCAGTACGACAGTTTCAGCCTTAAGAACTTCTTGCCTCCTGGGCTGTGCAGTGATGCAGGATAATCCTGACTGCCTTGTTCAGGCTCAAGCCATCTCTTGCCTTCAGCAGCTTCACATGTTTGCTCCTCGACATGTCAACTTGTCTAGCCTTGTAAGCTGCCTATGTGTGAGTATACGTTTACTAGTCTATATCCTTGTATTTTAAAACATTTTGTTCAGAAACACTTAAAAAATGCAGATGCTTCTTTAATCAGAGAAACTGATCATTGTGTAGGGTGAGGTGTTTCATATGCTCCTACAGGCAAGTATTCTCTATTTTTTCAGTTTTTTCCCCAATTTCTGCTTCCTCTTTACAAGATGAGCACCTTCTGTAGAAATCTTTGCCTTCTGAACTGCTTGCAAGTGCATTCTGCTGCTCTTACTAAGGCCAGTTGTTTGGCAGGATATACCATTCATTACAAGTTTGCACTGGATTTTTACCACTTATTTTATGTTGGCCGGATTTTTTCCTCTGCTGCTTTTTATGTTTTAGGTGAAGGATTGAATAAAAAAAAATTGTGTGTACTAATTACTGAGAATTGCTTTGTTTGGGTCTGTTTTTTCATGATGGTGAAAAATTGTGGATTTTTCTGTTTTGTAATTTCTGTAGCACTAATGCTTCAGTGTACTGACTTCTTGGCAGTCAGTATAAAAATTTCTGACATATAAGTAACAGTCAAACTAGGTCTTTGGAAAAAATAAAGTAAACTCTTTTTCAGCCCTATTTGACAAAGGGAGGGGGTGTTTATT